TAATAATAATAATGATTGAAAAAGATATTTTTTAATAAAAAAAGTCCCAAATTAATTACTCTCATATTGAAATATGAAAGAAAATTATCTTATATAATTTCTTCTTTTTCTATTATTCAAAAAAATCTATTAAATATTCACACCATGGGATCCACTTTCCCTGGACCCCACCCGCCGGATCGAAATCGTTGACTAAGTCAAACACAGACGACAACCGCTCTTCGCTCACAGTCGCACCGCATCTAGAAGCGTTTTCCTTCGATTCCCGAGGCGTCCAGCTCAAGCATCCACCCACCCAGTTTGACCCCCCTCGAAAGCGTTCACAAATTGGAGTGAGAAGAACGTACCCTGAGCGTGTAGTCCGTTTGCAGGCTGCTCTTCACTCCTTCGATTGCTGTGGCCTTCATGAACAGATCCACTTCAGCTTCTGGCAGAATTCCTCCTTCCTTCTCCCTCCTCGCCAGCTCCGTCAGAAGATCTGACAACATGCCATTTCATCATTCGATTCCAGTACAAGCTACTCTGTGGACTCGGCGGAAACCTTATCCACAATGACGACGACGGCGGCACGAATCACAACCTCAAAATTCTACACTATAGCTTTTCAACGTTCGTAGGCGAGAAAGGGACGGGGTTGAATCAGTACCGTATCGAGATCCTACGCCTTGACACCTCGCAGAGAAGTCGAATGTTTCTTTGACTGTCATCTCGCCCACATGAACATCATTCTGGCTAATGTAAGCTGCAGTTTTCTGAGGCACGAACTCCTCCAACCTGTATCCATTGTATGATATCTCTCCTCTGGTCTGCAAGTCGAGGATTTGCGTTATTTCAGGTTGCTCGAACTAAACCCAGGAAGAAAGAGGTCGGGCACCAACCTTCAAAGTTGGGTCTAGTTTTCCAGCTAAAGCTAACAAAAGGGTGGTCTTCCCAGATGATGGAGGGCCTAATAGAAGTGTCATCCTGAAATATCACCATTGTTAGCGAGCCACTTTAGTGGAGGCGATTCATATGTCTGCAACTTGTTGGAGTGTGTTCACCTCGAGGGTTGTATGATTCCCGAGATATCTTTGAGGATGGTGAGACAGGTTCTCTTGGTAAGGTTGATTCCCAAGAGGCCGACGGCCGACTCGGCGATGTCCCTGGCCGTGTTCGCCAGCGACGGCAGAGCCCTGTTCCCCACATGGCATTTGGCTTCCACGTTCAGATGCTCGAACCTCACCTCCACCGTTGGTAATTGGATGCCAACCCTGCATCACAAACATGGAATCAGTCAAAGAGAAGCTGCATCATATCGATGGTGATATGTAGCTAAACAAGTCTCAAATTGTCGGAGAACTTGTGCGATCACCATCATGACAGCCGCCCATTGCTTTCAAGTCCATAAGCATTAGATTATGGAGAGAGAAGCATTTGTACTGTAGTGATTGGAAATCAACCAATTGCTAAGAAACTTCCTGCGAACTATTGTTTATCTTCTGGATGACCGATGCACTTGTAATTTAAGGTGTTGAATAAGTTAAATTAGGGAAAAGGACACGATAATAGCTTAGAAGATGGCATCTCCAACTTCTAACCTCTCTGTCTCTCTCATGGCCTCTAGATTCCTTACGGCAGCTTAGTATGCTTTGGGTGATCCATTTATGGAGTAATCCTTGTCATAAAGAAGGGAAAGGAAAAAGAAATTATTGGCAGGTACTGTTTGTCACGGTTAATGGCTTGCTTGGTCATGCCTTTCGTGTTCTGTTCCTGATCATGCAAAAGGATATGGCCAGTGATGAAAAGATAGGATGCAACATGGTGGGTTGTAACGTGCAACACCAGAGGAGGAGGAGGAGGAGGGAGAACTGACTGACTTGTCGATTCGGTTGCGGAGCTTCTTGAGGAAGCGCTCGTTGTCCTCCTCGGCGACCTTGAAGACGCGCTCGATGAATTCCTGGCGCTCGTTGACGCCCAGCTTGCGCACGTCCACCTCCTTGTGCTGGTACTGCCGCCGCCCCTGCTCCCCTTCCGCCACCACCGACCGGAGGATCCCGGTGCGCAGGCGGCTGTAGGTGGGGAGCTTCTCCAGCGCGGCCCACCGCAGCGCCTCCTCGTCGTCGTCCACCCCGCTCCGGCTACCCCACGACCTCCCCCGCGTGCTCGACCGCGCGAACACGTCCTCCATCCCCCAGTTCCCCATGCCCATCCCCCTGCTGATGCTCCGGCTCAGGCTCCTGCTCGCCCGCCGCCCGGAGTCCCACGCCCTCTCCATGCCCTCCATCCCTTTACCTCTCCTCTCCCTTCCGTGTCCCACAGCTCCGTCGCGTACTATGTACAGTAGAGGAGCGTGCAGAAGAAGCTAAGCAGGAAGCCAGCCAGAAAGGATTGGGAGGAGGAGTTGGGGGGGTGGTAGTGGGAAAGCCCTTTTCTATATACGCACACACACGAGGCGACGAGGCCGACACTATTGACCAACGAAGCAGCGCGGTTGGTATGGAGCTCATCGTTTCTTACAAGCTTCGACCGCTTACTTGGTCGCAGTCAATCGGCAGCGATTTTAGGTACGATTCACCGATACTTTAATGTAACTTCGCCCAATTAGCGGGCGAACCCACCGGCCCGACCCGGTTCTATTCTTGTATTGACTCGACCCGGTCGGGTCGGCTCGTTGTTAATTTGATTTAAACATCAAGCTTTGGCAACTCTATCCGTACACGTGGATCACTGGATTGTCGTTTTGGTGCGCCGTGGTCGTCGTCGTTGTCGCTGCCAGTGCTTAAAAAGCGGAAGTGAAGCCTACCGTTCGCTTCCTGGTCACAGACCATCATCACACGCCACTTTCCCTGGTGCAGCACTCTTCGTTCACCTGGCCGTGGTGACTTCGAGCCTCGTTGTTGCGGGGAGATGGAGAACGTTGCGTCCTTTCTTTCCCGCAATGATACGACACTCGAACAGGGACGATGATTTGAAATCGAACGTCCGGTCTGGTTAAACCGGTTTGATCGAGATGGATAATTTAAAGGGCGTGATATTTGGTGCATCGTTACTTTTTGTGCGTCATGAATAACATAATATGTAGAGTCTTAAATTAATTGCCTAGAATTCAATGCACAAACGTGCATGGGATGTAATCAATTGTATGCATACTTTAAGACCTAAATATTCTTGACCGAGTCTGCTTGCGGTAGGCAGGACAAATCTTCCATGGAGATGCATGGAGACGATCCCACCCAGAATTGATGCATTGATTCCAAGGTTTCTTCTTGCCGCCTTGTGGCGGATGAATGAGATCAGGTGTGTCAGCATGTGGGCGAACAAAGGGAAAGGAACAGTTTACTTCACGGCGTTGCTGTCATCTGTAGAATACTAGAAGACACAAGACTCTACCTGGCATCAGCCAAAGCAGAGTGGACTAGAGGTGCACATCTCTCTTAAATTCTTGTCGCCGAGGTGTGGTGTTGGACTTTTGATTCTTAAAGCTGTGTAGAATGAAACCTTTTAGACAATAGCAAGATGAACTTTCTTCTTGACGTGATAGAATTCGGGGTTTAGAATATATATATATATATATATAAAAGTGAGATGATACATGTTTAGCCCAACATCCAAATACTTAAGATACTTGTTCATTTCCAACACACGTGAACTCGACCGGCCGATTCATATAATAATAATATTATTAATAATAATAAACGAGCCATATATTTTGACCGAGACGGGTGAATTAGTCAACGCCACCAAACCCGATTGACTTCTTCGCCTGCATGCTTTAAATCGAGGGTGCTTTTAGATCACGTTTGGTATACCAGTACGTGATATGTGGCTGTGAGTCTTTTCTGTGTTCCTTCCAATGAGTCAAACAACACTTCACACCTACCAACTTTGGAGTCGGTTCTTCAGTTGAATAAGAAATGGAATCCAATTCCAACTACTAAACGCCGATAAGTCAGCCCTAATCGTTTGGCGTTTGGTAATATTCACTCGTACAACACGAAAAGAGAGAGCATAAATAAAAAGAAAATACATTCGTATCACTAATAACTAAAATTAAATCTATGTGTTTAGCATTGGTGTGGAACTTAAGCTAATCAAAATTAGAATCAAATCGGATCGACTGTTCGATGGTTTCAAACAAAAGGAAATCGAGACTATACGATTTGATTTGAGTTGGATTTCAATTTAATTAGGGATATAGTACAGGTGCTTAATAGGAAATAATTTTATTCGTTTATAGAATATTAGATGGTTGATGATGACTTATTATCAAACAGTGATTCCATAGTTCCAACGATATATCTGGTCACTTAAGAAATCAAGGATATCCTGTATAAGTGCTCCACTCTTTGATACCAAAATTATAGGTTTCGATGTTTTAGATCTAGCACGGCCGGTCATCGGGAGTGGTAGCCAACCTTACGAGGACCATTGAGTATCGATAGAGGATCATCTACTCTCGGTGTCATGAGAGAAATATCCCTTGTGTTCTTGCTGTTAGAAAATATTTGGGGGCGACATTACTCAAAAAAAAGAAAACACAAAAGGGTTTACAAAGATAAACAAAAATAAAAATATTTTTGGTGATTACTTCTTAATCTAGTTTAAGAGTAATTAAAATTAAACAATTAGATATTCAAAATTATGTGAGAATGAGTAAAGTGAGATTCACAAAGGTCATATCATTATTAATAATGACAACGAGTTGAGTTTTTCCAATATTCATGCCTATATAAAGATTCCATAAATCTCATTTTCAGAAAAATAAAGTTTAATTTTGGTATGAGTTTAAGTAAATCATAAATTGGGTTTGGGAAGAGACAATGTAAGTTTTCCTACTCATTCTCATTCCTAATTCGAACAAAATCGAATAAAATCTTTTTTTTTCTTTGCTTGTTATTCGAAAAGGTGGAAAAGGTCACTTCATATAAGTAATAGAGACTTGACTTGAGAGGATATATATATATATATATATATATATATATATATATATATATATATATATATATATATATAGTCACTTCAATGGGAACGCTCGCTCACATTGGCGCAAGGGTTGGTGGGCGACGTCCTCTCCGGTCTTCTCAGCTACCAGAGCGAGATGCTTTGTCGACGGGGCCAACTTGCCTCAGCAACTGCCACAACACAAGTGAGAGCTACTCAACGAGTTTGAGGAGACGGAACTCAGGACACGTAAAGGTAAAGGGTTTGGCTCGAATGCAACCTGCAAGTAGTTTTCCAGCTTCTGCCTCAAGATGGTGTGGTCATTCTTCACCTTCTGAAACGATCTCAGGCATCTGAACGAGCGTGGATGTATGGTTAGTGATGCATGAACAGACAGTCATGGAAGTAACCGAGTGAACGAGCGTGGTCGAGGAAAGAGAAGCACCCGTCAAGGTTTCCTTCACTGCAGAATTCTCTGAAACTGGTGCACTCGTTCTTCATCTTTGCAGCACCGATGCTACACCAATTCCCTAAGCCTATATTAGTCAACCTTGGATGTCGTATGCGTGTGTGTATATATATGGGCACCGAGTGTTTACCTGGAAGCACTGCCCTTCAATCGGTGCAAGAAGTTGTCCAGCCTATGGAAATCTCGAGGGCACTGCTGGCTGCACAGAAGTTGATGGTATTAGCATAAGTGAACTCTCTACGTGCAGATTACTGTGGTGAGAGATGTGCGTACAGGGCGTCGTCAATGTTGGCCATCAATCTGGATGAATCCCTGAAGAACAATGTGACAACTTCTTCCACAAAATTAGGGCTGGATTCATCCTGCAACTCCTCTAGCTGATCAAATTGTTCGTCCAAGTACCCCTGCAACACGAGACTAAATCTATAAACTGATGTTGTGTAAGTAAACATGACCACGTATTTGTATAAGAAGAAAAATACAGTTGCATGTACAAAGATACTGCCAAAAGGATGCAATCAAAATATCTTAACATGCAATCAAAATATTGATGGGGTGATGTGTAGTGAACTCTGAAGCCTTGGTTTTGTTAACTTGTGACTTGGTATAGAACTTCAATTTAGATTAATTGTAGTTATATTGAACACAACAATAAATTTATACATATTTTTAAAAAAATAGTGAAATTAATTTTAAATCCGAGATATATAAGTAAGATTTAAAAACTAGAGGTCTTAAATTAAATAGGATTAAGACTGAATGTATAAAATATAATTTTAAGAATTTTAATAATAAACTGAAGAATAGTGTAGTTATTATATTAGATAGACAAAAAGACTTTAAGTAAAAAGTTTTAGATATCTTAGATTAATTATTTAACAAGATAGAGATATCGATAAAAATATTATTCATAGAATAAAAATAAGAAAATTAAAATAGTGAGAGACGTTAGAAGTTAGGAGTAATCATTGAATAATTTTAAAATTAATTTTTTTTATAAGATAGTTGTGAGACCACTAAAATAATTTTATGGATCCGAGTGTTGGTTAGTTAAGAAATAACATATACAAAAAGTTATGTTGTATAATAATATTAAGATGAATGTGTAGAGTTATTAAAAAAGATAGGAAAAAAAATATTTTTATTCGTGAACAATTATGTATTATTTTGATAAAAAAATAAAATAAAATAAAAAATTATTTCAAATGGTATGGATACCTCTAAATAATAGTCAAAAGAGGTAAAATGATTAATATTAGTGCCTTAAAAATAAATAGAAAATGGCATCAAAAATATTCTAATAGAAATTATAAATACAAATTTAAATGCTCTGAACTTAATTAAACTTATATTTTTTTATAGATCTCAATAACAACA